ATTTCTTCTTCTTCAGATTTGTTGTTTGTGTATAGGAAGGCTACTGACTTTTGCGTGTTGATTTTGTATCCTGCCACTTTACTGAACTGATTGATGAGTTGAATTAGTTTTTCTGTGGAGTTTTTGGGGTTCTCTATGTATATTATCATATCATCTGCAAATAGTGATAGTTTGACTTCTTCTTTTCCTATTTGGATTCCTTGTATGTCTTTCTCTTGTCTTATTGCACTGGCTAGGACTTCCAGTATTATATTGAAAAGCAGTGGTGAGAGTGGACATCCTTGTTCCAGATCTTAATGGAATTGCTTTCAGCTTTTCACCATTGAGAATGATACTGGCTGTTGGCTTGTCATAGATGGCCTTTATGATGTTGAGGTATGTTCCTTGTATCCCAAGAATTTCAAGGGCTTTTATCATGAATGGGTGTTGCACTTTGTCAAAAGCTTTCTCAGCATCTATTGATATTGTCATATGGTTTTTATATTTTTTTTTTGTTGATGTGTTGGATAACGTTGATTGATTTTCGGATGTTAAACCATCCTTGTGTCCCTGGAATGAATCCTACTTGGTCATGGTGAATTATCTTATGGATACATTGTTGGGTTCTGGTAGCTAAAATTTTATTAAGGATTTTTGCATCAGTGTTCATTAGGGAGATTGGCCTGTAGTTTTCCTTTTTCATGTTGTCCTTGTTCGGTTTTGGTATTAGTGTAATGTTGGGCTTCATAGAACGTGTTTGGTATTGTCCCTTCCTTCTCAATTTTTTGGAAGAGTTTGTGAAGGATAGGCACTAATTCGTCTCTGAATGTTTGGTAGAATTCATTTGTAAATCCATCAGGTCCTGGGCTTTTGTTTTTGGGGAGGTTTTTGATTACCATTTCAATTTCGCTAATTGTAATTGGTCTGTTTAGGTGTTCTATTTCTTCTTTATCTAGCTTTGGGTGATTGTAGAGTTGTAGGAATTTGTCCATCTCCTCTAGATTGTTGAACTTGTTTCCATATAACTGTTCATAGTAGTTACTGATTATTCTTTTGATTTCTGCTGTGTCCATTGTGATTTCTCCTCTTTCATTTGTGATCCTGTTTATTTGTGCTTTCTCCCTTTTTTCCTTTGTGAGCCTGGCTAGGGGTTTGTCTATTTTATTGATTTTTTCAAAGAACCAGCTCTTGGTTTCATTGATCTTTTGGATTGTTTTTTTAGTTTCAATTTCATTTATTTCTGCTTTGGTTTTTATTATTTCTTTTCTTCTACTGGTTTTGGGTTTTTTTTGTTGTTCTTTTTCTAGATCTTTGAGCTTCGAGATTAGGTTGTTTCTTTGAGTTCTTTCTTGTTTCTTGATGTGAGCTTCTATTGCTATATATTTTCCTCTTATTACTGCTTTTGCTGCATCCCATACATTTAGGATATTGGTGTCCTCCTTGTCATTCAATTCAAAGAATTTTTTAATTTCTTCTTTGATTTCCTCATTGGTCCAGTGGTCTTCCAGTAGTGTGGCTTTTAATCTCCATGAGGTAGGAGAGTTCCTTGCCTTCTTTTTATGGTTTATTTCTAGTTTGATGCCTTCATGGTCAGAAAAGATGGTTGATATGATTTCAATCTTGGTGTATCTGTTGATGTTTGTCTTATGCCCCAGTATGTGATCGATCTTGGAGAATGATCCGTGTGCGCTTGAGAAAAATGTGTACTCCGTTTTTGGGGGGTTTAATGTTCTATAGATGTCTGTTAAGCCCAAATGCTCTAGGTCCTTATTTAGAGCTTTAGTTTCTTTACTTATTTTTTGTCTTGTTGATCTATCCATTGTTGATAGTGGTGTGTTGAAGTCTCCCACTACGTATGTGTTTTCTCTGATGTCTGTTTTCAGAGAGGACAGCAGTTTTCTGATATATTTTGGTGCTCCTTCATTTGGTGAGTATATGTTAATGAGTGTTATTTCTTCTTGAATTATTGTCCCCTTGATCATAATGTAGTGACCATTGGGGTCTCTTTTTATTTTTTTGAGTTTGAAGTCTGTTTTATCTGATATAAGTATAGCTGTTCCTGTTTTCTTTTTTGGCCCATTTGCTTGTAGGATTGTTTTCCATCCTTTAACTTTGAGCCTATTTTTATCTTTTGTAGCTAAATGTGTTTCCTGGAGACAGCAAAAGGTTGGGTTTTGTTTCTTAATACAGCCTGCGACTCTGTGTCTTTTTATTGAAGAGTTTCGTCCATTTACATTTAGAGTTAATATTGATATGTTAGCATTTGTATTTGCCATTGTGTTTGTCTTTCCTTTGATTTTATTTATTTATTCTTTTAATAACTTTTTTTTTGGCCTTCTTTCATTGTTATTCGTCCCTCTGAGGTTCTAGCTTTAGGATTCCTTGTAGTATTTTTTGGAGTGGGGGTTTAGTCATAATGAATTTCCAGAGTTTCTGTTTTTCTGGGAATGTCCTTATTCTTTCTTCATAGAGGAAGGAGAGCTTTGCGGGATAGAGTATTCTTGTTTGGCATCTGTTTTCTTGGAGTCTGTTGACTATGTCCCTCCATTCTCTCCTTGCCCGTAGTGTTTCTTCAGAGAAGTCTGATGTCAGCCTGATTGGTTTTCCTTTGAATGTTATCTGTTTCTTCCCTCTTGTCAGCTTCATTATTTTTTCCTTGTCCTGGATTCTTAGGAGCTTTACTATTATGTGTCTTGACGTATTTTTCCTTTCATCATGGAAGTTTGGTGTTCTTCTTGCTTCTTGTATATCAATTTTCAGCTCCTTCTTCGTGTTTGGGAAGTTCTCTTCAATTATCTCCTGGAATATTTTCTCTGTTCCTATATCTCTCTCTTCTCCTTCTGGAATTCCTATAACTCTTATATTTCCTTTCCTCATGGAGTCAGATAGTTCCCAAAGTCTTTCTTCATTCTTTTTCCTTCGTACTTCTCTTTCCTTTTCTGTTTTGGTCCTTTTTATTTCTGTGTCTTCAAGAGTACTTATTCGTTCTTCCATTTTCATCTATTCTGCTTTCATTGCTTTTCCCAGAGTTCTTTAGTGCCTCCATTAATTCTTTGTTCTCCTGTGTTTCTTTTGCTTCCCTCTTTAGGGACTCAATTTCATTCTTCTGATCGTTGATTATTTTTCTCATATCATTGTTTTCCTTTATGACTTCTGTCACTTTTTTAATCATGGCAATTTTAAATTCTCTTTCTGGAAGTCTCAGAAGTTCTTCCAAGTTACTGTCGTTGTAATCTGGGGGGTGGTTTTCTTTTTGTGGTGTGCTTTTTTCCTGAGGAGTTGTTAGGTTGCGTGTGGTTCTTCTACTCCCTACTGTCTGTTTTCTAATTTGTCGTATGCATTGGGACACAGTGCTGCTCGGACTGGCCGGCATCGTGGGTGAACTTCTCCGCTCCCCTCTGGCTCCTTCAGGAGCCATCTCTGGCTTCTGAGGGAGTTTTCTGCTGGTTTCAGGCAGTCTTTACTGAAGAAATGTCCCTGTTCTAAAATGGCGACGCGGGACTCAGTCCCTGCGCATCCGGTCTCAGGCACACTCTTCTGCCGCCCGGTCTGCCCCAGCCGTGGATGCCTGTTCCCTCTGTGGGCTCAGACTGCTTGCTGGACGGAAGGGGCCTGGCGTGGGCTAACTTCCCAGCTGGCCACTGTCTCCTCCGGGAGCCTTCTGCCCTTTTCTAGCAGTCTTAAGAAATTTCCCTGTTCTATGGGGTGTTAGTGAATTTTTTTTTCTGGTCGCTAGGTGGCGCCAGAGATCTCTCCTATTGTCCTTGGGGGGCTGTTTTTCGCCCCCCACCCCACCCCGTGGGACAGGGAAAAGAGCGGGAATGGTAGGGTAAACCTCAACGGCTTTGGGGTGCTGTGTCTGCCTTGTGCCCCACCGTCGTGGATAACCCACGCCCCGAATTTCGTGCCCTGGGTCTCAGTTCCAAAGCCCTCAGTTCCAGGATGCGGGCTGTAGCCCAGTTCAGTGGCGCGGGAATGGCGCCTTTTGCACCCCGCTCCCGTGCCTGGGCGCCTGGTTCCTGCTCACTCAGTGAGGGACTTTCACTTCAGTGAGGGCCTCCGTGCGTCTCCCCGCAAGCCTAGATCTCAGGAGCGGAGACCTGGGCAGCCGCGATCCCGATCTGAGTTTGCTTTTCAAGCGTGCCAAGCGCGCGCTGCTTTTCCACGCAAGCTTACCAGCCGGCTGGGGGCTGTGTGCGGGTCTCCAGAGTCTGTTGTTCTCTAATGGCGCCTGGAGCCGTTCGCTCACCGCTGTGGCGAATCCTGCAGGGTTCTCCACAGCTCCCGTTCACGGGGTGTGGTGGCTGCAATAGTTCCTTTCCACTCACAGTCCCGCTTGATGAGTAGTTTGTTCTTGTTGGTCGTTTTAGTTTGTTTTGTTTCCTCCTTTCCATTGGTCGGAGAGTGCCGACTCTGTGGGTGGGGGAGGGGAGCAGGGTTCTGCGCTTTCCTCCCTTCTGGTCCTCTTTTATGGCCACTTTCTTCTTCGGGTAGTTTGCTGGAGTCGTCCGTTTATAATCCGTGTCCCAGTTCTCACTGGGACCTGCCGCTTTTCCTCCCTATTAACTTTTTTTTTTTTTAATGGGAGATCTTACTCGCAGTGTCTCCTCGCCACCATGTTGCTCCGCCCTCCCCTATAATCCTCAAAGATATTTTATTCCAAGGCAGTCTTATTTATTAGAAAGTTTAAAGACTTGAATAATGTGATATAAATTAAAATTGGTAATAAATTCCTAAAATGAAAAATTCTTTTAAGGTAATCTTCATTTAAATTCCAAATCTTTTCATTTATCAGTTTAGGGAAATAGTTGCACTTCTTCATTTTGCTATCCATTCATAAAGTATAAAATAGTTGCTATTTCAGTAGCTGACAGCAATACTTCAGAGGTAAATTTATAATGTCATGTAAACAATGATTTAATTCAAATTCAATCTGTTGACAATTTATTAAATTTGTATTTGATATGTCTGTCTACTTCACTAATGCTGTTTTTTTTATTTTTACTTATAATATCTTCCAGCACCTCCAGTTTTCATACAAGAACCTGTTGATGTGTCTATGGAAATTGGCTCAAATGTGACATTACCTTGCTATGTCCAGGGTTATCCAGAACCAAAGATTAAATGGCGAAGGTTAGACAACATGCCAATCTTCTCAAGACCCTTTTCATTGAGTTCCATCAGTCAACTAAGAACAGGAGCACTCTTTATTTCAAGTAGGTTAAAGGAAATGTATTTTATACAGATATGTGTATATTTATATTAAATTTTGATATAGCTATTGCGGCATTTAGAATAGTAAGTTAATTTTGCCAACACGTTTTGTGTTTGTTACATGTCACTTTAAAATAGTATTAAACTCTTATATATGGTAATTGTCATAAATGGATATTTTATCCAAATGCATGTCATTAATATATCATATAGGCTAATGAAGCAATGTAATTTATTCACATCTTACTGCTTTTTATTGCAGATAGAGTTAGTGGGCTATAGATGAATAAGTGATCACATCTCATTGAACTTTGTACTGACTGTGTAGAAAGCATTATATTACTAGTAGTAAAGTTTCATTATTTTTGGCTAGCAAAACATAACCATATGCATAGGGACCATATATCCTCTGAAGCCTCCTTGATTAAACACCTCCTACCTGGATCAAAAGGTTAAAGAAAAAGTCAAGTACTCTCTCATCTGAAACTCTTACCCCAAAACCATTAAGCATTCAGATATTTGTAAGCATTTTATACCTTTTCAAAAATGTTTGAATAGTAACCTTAGATGAATAATAACATTTAGATCATTAATTGATCTTTAAAAAGTAATTGCATCTTTGAGGTATTTTATAGAAAACCTTCAATAAAGGATGTGTATATTTATGAGCAGTAAGTACTAAGTGTACATATTGGAAGTACTCATATTAGATTGGCTCAAATTGTGCAGGCTCTGAAAAATGCAAGTAAAGAAGAGCTCTTGGTAAGGGAGAGAAAATAGATCCCCAAACTTCAAAGACAGGAAAAAGCCTATGAAAGTAGTTTCAGAACAACTCTTGCAGGATAAGTACAGAAATGAGAGAGAAAAAATGTGAGGAGGTTAGGGTGATAATGGTGTTGAAGAGCAGTCCAAAGGGAACACAATTGCTTGAAAACAAGCCAATTAGATGAGATTTAAAAAAGGAAAAATAAAAGGGCAATGTATTGACCAATGGATGCTTAATTGTATCATATAATCATCTGGAAGGACACTCATGATTAGAAACTTAGTTTGAGTGGAATTTTGATTTTCTGCGCAATTAGGACCGGGTTGATTATATGGGAAACATCTTGGTTAGAAGCAATGCATGACTTATTAACCAGGCGATTTGCTGCATTTCCCTTTGCAAATAAATGTTTATTATTGTTTAGAGTGGACACTGCCTGAGTTTACTAATACAATTGTTCAGTTATTTGCCTATGATTAACAGAGGAGTAAAAACTTTGTTACTGCTGTTTATAGAGATCCTATGAAATTATTCGTTATGGAAAGCTACATTTACTCTGCTAAAATCATGATCTGTCAACAGATTAAGCTGTGCTTATCTTAAGATATTTGTGAAAATGATAATCATTTCCCTATTTAACAACTTATCTTGTCTCCCCTTTTGCTCACAAGATGAAACCACAGTCTTTATAAGGTACTGGTCTACCTTTTCATTTTTGGTTTCCTAACTACATCCACCCAACTTGTAACCTAGTAGTCTTCATTCTGACTACCCTATCACCCTTTTAATGAAAAATATTTTGTAATGTTCTTGTTATTATCCTGAAAAAATATGTAGGTATATTCAATGTACCTAGATAATGAAAATTATTTTAATATCCAAAATGGAGCACCAAGGAAGATAAAAGAAAGTAATTTATATTAAAATATTCTGAACAGCTCTGGCTTCATGAACTATGCATACACATTTATATAGCATTCCCATATATTTGACAACTCAAATGTAGATCAAAGCAGGAATATGGGACTGATGATTCAAAAATGAAAACTAGTGAAGGAATTTTCTAAAATAGTGGCAATTCTGGCTGAAGTTTTTTATTTTCTTTCATTCACACAGAGTTATTTTGTAGGCATGTATGATTAAAGAGAGTCATCAGATCCACGAATTTCCAGTGGTACCTTCAAAAGTCTTGCTGGATTTGGATAATTGTTTATTTTGTGAATGTGTTCCATGCAAATGCCAACAAACTCCCCAAATCAAATTTCCCCTGTAAACTTCCACAATGCCCTTAGGGTGGTGTAGTGGCCATTGTTCTATTCTTTGAATAGATTGTCATTTTTTTCAAATCATTCTTCTGCCTTTGTAACCCATAAGTTTAGGCTGCCTTTTTATCCTACCAGCTGTGTTTTTAATGTCAGTTTTAATTGAAACAACATTGAATCATAATACTATATAAGTTTCAGCTGTATATCATTATAAATCAGCACCTGTTTATACTACTTTATAGTTTTCACCACTAAAAGTAGAATTCCATCATTCACCATATATATTCTCTATTTGCTCAATTTACCCATTCACCTTCCTGTTCTTTTCTGATATCCAATAATTTGGTGTTATAGTCTAAAGGTTTATTTTTGTTTTACTTTGTTTTGATTCTTTATGCACCATATCTAAATGAAATCATACAATATTTAGCTTTCTTCATGTGACTTATTCTACTAAGCGTAATACCATCTAGGTTTGTCCATGTTGCTGCAAATGGCAGGATTTCATGTTTTTGTATAGCTGAGTAATATTCTATTGCATATATATATACCATATCTCCCTTTCCACTCGTCTGTCAGTGGGCATCTAGGTTGTTTCTAATTCCTGGCTATTGTATATAATGCTCCAGTGAACATAGGGTGCATATATCTCTGTGCATTTGTGCTTTGTATTCGTCAATCTACCTGCTATTTAGGGTAAGTTCAAATATAACCTCTATGTGTACCTTCCCTAACTCCCCTATATATGATCTGTCACTCCCGTCTCTGGCTCTCACAGTACATTGTTTAAAACTCATGTTATGGCTTTTATCCTACTGCAGTGTGATTATTTTATGTGTGTCTTCTCCCTTAGAATGGGAACTACCAGAAGACAGCACTGTCCTTCCCATCCACAGATCCCAGTACCACCTGGAACATAGTTAATGCTCCATAGATGGTGTTGATTTAGTAAATGGTCTCTTCTTTTTAGACTTATGGGCAAGTGATAAAGGAACCTATATTTGTGAAGCTGAAAACCAGTTTGGAAAAATCCAGTCCCAGACAACAGTAACAGTGACAGGACTTGGTAAGATCAATCATGTGCTTAAACACATATACTTCAATATCATCCAGCTTCTTTTACTGTATCATCTCCTGTTTATGCCACTTAAAGAAAAAAGATATCTGATCTCTGGACTAGCTTTTTGTCTCCACCCCAAGTCATAGATTGTTAGAAATGGAGGTCATTCATCCAAACTTCCTTATCTTTCATTTGAAAAAATGAAGGTCAGTTTGAACGAATTGATTTAAGTCTAAATAGATACTAAGGTGGTAAAGTGCTTTTCTGGTTAACTTTTTTACATTTATCACTATAGTTAATTTGGAATTATTTTGGTATATGATATAAAATAAGAATATCATATTGTTTGTTCTACGTGCTACACATTAATTTCATTATCTTTCTTAAGTATTCTTTTCCCATTTATTAGACTTATTGGCATTTGTTCACATGCTGAATTTACATTTCTGTCTTCTTTTTACTGGGTCTTACATCTATGTCTATTTGTGCATTAGGACTACATTGTTTAAATTACTACAGCATTTAATGTGATTTTTAAACCTGTCAGTGTATGTTCCTCATTAATATGCATATATCAATTTTTCTTTATGTTTATCCCATTCTTCATTTACACATACCTTAAATTTTCCAAGTAGACTCTTGGGGAATTTTACTTTGATTTATCTTAAACTTATTCACTGATTTCTAGAAAATAAGATCTTTACAATACTTCTTTACCATTCCACTTAAGGCAGTCCATCTCATTTTATTTCCTTGAGCCATTATATGATAGCATCTGGCTCACTGATCTCATCTTTTGTGTTTTTCACTTCTTCAATAAATACTATTCAGTTTTCAAATTAATATTTCCTGAAAATAGTTCTAATTATTTCATTTTTATCTTTTAGTCACTCTTCATTTGTGTACTAAATACGTTGCAAATTTCTTAGCTTGTCATTTCTCATCTTCCATGTCATAAACTTACTCTTCTTTTTGTAAACTTCTCTACCTTTATGCAATTACTTCTTTAATTGAGTCTCCCAGTGATTAGAAGAGTCCTTTATCTCTACCTTCAAATTTATGCTTATTTATATTTTAAAAATTTGTTCTTAAAAACTCAATTCTTAAAGCATCATTAAAGAGGACTATAAAATAGTTTGTCCTCCTTTTGGGTGAAATAGAGCTGAGTGCCTGTGGTTTCTCTGATTCAGTTGCTCCACTTATTGGAATCAGCCCATCAGTGGCCAGTGTAATTGAAGGACAGCAGCTGACTTTGCCCTGTGCTCTGTTGGCTGGAAATCCCATTCCAGAACGTCGGTGGATGAAGAATTCAGCAATGGTAAGAACATTTTAAACCCATGCTTTCAGTATTCTAACCATGAAATATCAGTTTAATAAATATGGTTTGTAAGTGTAACATGGCTGTTCTTCAGTGTTCACATGTTTACACAGTTCATATTACTTAGGAATTAATGAGATTGAAAAATAGTCAATGGTATCATTTTTATTATTTTTTATTAAATTCCATGTCACAACTCTTCTGAGAATACATAAAAGTTAAAACAAGTCATTTACATAACATTTTAATATATTTATATCCATTGCATGGCATAATGAAATGTTAAGATTTGCAGGAAAGTCTTCCATTTTATATATTAACCTTTATTATTATTAACTTCAAGCATTTTTTCTCTTATTATGAATTATTTAAATATGTGGTTCTATTTTATGTCTTTGTTTTTCAGTGTTTAATTCTTAATTATGAAAGGAAGTGAAAAATGTTTACAATTCCATGAGGATTTTCTGTAAACATGCTATTATTCATGGAAATCAATTTTCATTTAGTCAGAGCATTTTTCTTTCCATTTTCCAGAATAGTTAGCCTCACTCTCTTCTTGAAATATCAAGTAGGAGTGAATTGTCTCCATGGAATAAGATATAAAATTGTTCATATTTGTGTAACAACCTAAGAAAAATTAGTACAACTTTTTCGATGATAAATACCTTTACAACACAACATGATACTGTTTGAACAGTAACATATCCCTTTAATGAGTAAAGTGCATAAATGGTGCAGATTTGGAAGGGATTAATTTTACCTGAGATTATTTCCAGCATTCTCTGACACACCTCCTATAGCCTGCATTGTCTTCTAATATTTGCATCTGTCAATGACTGGCGTGAGTGTTGAGATTGTCACTTTCTTTTGACTCGAATGAGTATTTATGTGCCAAAATAAAAATATCAAGTGACTTGCTAGTGGTCATTTGAAAAGGCCTTATTTAAGCCCAAAGTGAAAATTGCTAGTGAAATTTGAGTCCTGAGTGATGACAAAAAAATTACAGAAACTTGAACCAAGTGATGTCTATTTCTCTTTTCCAGCATGTATATACTCTGACAAAAGTTAGTAGGAATAAATTTGGGAATTATATCATGATGACATATAATTGATACTGTGCTTGGTAAAAACTTAGGCTCATCATTTTTCATTGAAGGATGTTAAAATTGTTTTGTACTTTATAAGACATTAAAAACCTAGTTGGAAACAAAACAGATCCAGTTTTGGCGTAGGTAACATTGCATTAAAAAAACAAGCAACAACAATGTTGGTAAGGATATGGTGAAAAAGGAACTCTCTTATATTGCTGGTGGGAGTGCAAACTGGTCCAGCCACTATGGAAAACTGTCTGGAGGTTCCTCAGTCTACTAAAAAATGGAGCTACCATATGACCTGGCAATTCCACTCCTAGGGATCTACCCAAAGGATAAAAACACGCTGATGCAAAAGAACACCTGTACCCTTGTGTTTATTGCAGCACTATTTACAATAGGTAAAAACTGGAAACAACCCAGATGCCCAAAAATAGATGACTGGATCAAGAAGATGTGGTACATATACACAATGGAATATTATTCAGCAATCAAAACAGATAAACTCATGCCATTCACAGCAACGTGGTGGATGGAGCTAGAAGGAATTATGCTCAGTGAAATAAGCCAGAAGGAAAAAGAAAAATATCACATGGTTCTACTATAATGGGAATATAGGGGAACCAATTAAGACATCAGTGTAAAAAAATAATAACAGTACAAAGCACAACAAAGCAAAAATGGACAATTATAAATCAGAGACATACTGCAGGGGAGGAGGAGGGAGCGGGACCAGAGGGAGGGAGGGAGGAGTACAGGGGACTGAAGTGATGGTGCACGGGTGCATTGGTGAAGGAAACTATGGGGACTACACCTAAGGGGGTGGGGGAAGCAAATATTATTTAAAAATGAACAATTATGTAAAAATTTAAAAAATAATAAAATTAATTTTTAAAAAATTAATTAAAAATGACTTTTTCTCTTTAAGTTGGTCCAAAATCCTTACATTACTGTACGCAGTGACGGGAGCCTCCATATTGAAAGAGTTCGCCTTCAGGATGGAGGCAAATATACTTGCGTGGCTAGTAATGTTGCTGGAACCAATAACAAAACTACCACTGTGGATGTGCATGGTAAGAGACACTTGATTGTAATTCTTGCCAAAGCAAGTTGGGTTCTTATCTTAAATCTAGTTAAAAGAAGAAGATCTTTCCTAGTGGTTATTCTTAATAAAAACTTTATTTCTTGAACAATATTTACATTGATAAGATTGCAGATTTCCCTTTCCAATGTACACAAGAAGACATTACTGGGAGTCACCAGCTGGTCAAGGACTTTTGTATGTAATTCCTTAATTGATACAAGTGAAGTCAGTTCTCAAAGAATTATGTTTAAAAATACATTTTCATTTCAGGGAATCCGAACTTATATCATTCAAATTGCCGTTTCTTTTTGGATTGAGAAACAAGCATGTCTTACTAATGAACCCTTTATGTGTTAGTAGAAATGATCTAAACTTTTCTAAAGGTCACCCCATGTGCTCCAAACAATCTTCTTGTATTAGTTAAATAACTTAAAGGTCACAAATAAGAAAACCCAGAAGCAGTCTTTTTCCATTTGTGACTAACAGCTTAACAGTTACCAAACATTTCATATCCCATTAAATGACAACTTCATAGCTTAAGAAATTGTCTTAATTATTTTTGTATATTTTCTTTAAAAAAACTTGCAACATTGATTTTATTTTTTAAGTGTAATATTAAAAAATAGCTCTGTATACAGGGATGAAAGTCTTAGGAAGAAAGTAGCACAGAACATTTATTTTTGGTAGTTAATTCAATCTTTTTTAAGACATGAATTAGACATTCCAGTAATTTCCAAATTCTGCTTGCTCTGTTGAAAATTTCACTGGATGCAGGCCATATTCTTTTGAAGAGATCATCTTTTTACTTTATTTCCGTATTTGTTTTTTATTTTGAATCTCTTTTATCAAAGCTTCAGGACTTGAGTATATTTAGTTCCTGGGCATGGACATCCAAATTGTGTTTGTAGATAAATACTGATGTGGGGACTCCAAAGAGTTAGGCAAGAGTTGGGGCTAAAGAGTACAATGAATTCATAGTTGCCTTTTTTTCTTTTAAATATATAAAGTGTTGAGACTACTGAGACAGTTACCTTATTTTTGAATCATTTTTTTTTTGAATTATATATTTAACTTTTGCTTTGGTATATTTTATTGAGGTAATGTTGACAAACATGCTGTATATGTTTCAAAGAATGTTAGATTTCTTTGTAAATAGTGCCTTCTATCTCTTTCAATTTTATACCAAATTCACACAAATATTCTTGAAGAAATACTATTTTGAAGAAATACAAAAGAAACATTAAATTAGTTATAGCCTAAAGGCCAAATTGAATATAGCTGTGTTTAACTCTGTGCGTGTGTGTGTGTATGTGTGTGTTTAAAGACCACTCTTCGATTTCTCAGAGAGCAATTATGGCCTGGCTTAAGAATCTAGTGTAAAAATAACTTCATGTCACTTCCCTTTGGCTTCTAGCAACTGCCTTGAATATTGTTGTAGCAGCAGGAAGGGGCAGAACAGGATATCTATGATCCCAGCAGACCTGGTAAAGGAGAGTCCTGGAGCCCCCTGTGGGTTTCTCAGGCCTTTATTAAGCTTTTACATGTAGTGCAGGGACTGGGGGGCCGGGGGAGTCTTCACTTTGGGCTCTCTGGCTTCTTCCTCCTGCATCTGCTTCTCTTGACAAATAAATCAGTACTGCATCCATGGCCCACAAGAGTAAAACACAACTAAATATAACAATGTAACAAAATGCAGGTGCCTGCCATCAAGCATGCAATCCTAATGGTGGAAGGGCAGGAAAGCCTGAAAATCATTTATCCTACAATTGTGTTGAGAAGGATTTGGAGGAAATTTTGGGTGTGTTGACCCCACCGAAATAAACAGTCAGTTATTTCACTAGCAATATGTTTTTTTTTCCAGAAATAACAGCAAAATTTTGGAAAGCGCAGTCTCATTTTGAAATATGGGCACACTTTCTCAGAATAAAGAACACTTCCTTCTGTACCTTTAGGAGGGGCATTTTCTTAGTGGCTGAGCAGTTGCTGGATAGGTAGACATTGCCTATTTCCTCTGATGGGAGATCCATGTCTCCTCTACTTGGATTCTGTGATGTGTGGCGATTGCCCATGTGTGAGAACTTTCTTTCAGCCTCACAACCTCATCTAAATAAAGTTTCTGTATATTAAAGTCACAGGTGAAAGGGTGACTGAATTAGTTGTGATGTCTGCCAAGTCAGAGCAGCGAGGAGAAGGCAGACAAACCAATGTTGTGGTTTATCATAATGCAATAAATTTTAATAATTAAAAGATAATGTGTCAATTCACAACATCATTTCTTCCATCTTTGTCCAAAATGTGTAGTCAATTTAGAAAATAAGTCTTAAAAAAATCATTCCATTTAACATGAACTAAGCCAGCAATCATTCATCTTACAGTTTTGTCTTTGTGTTAGATTGATTCAGCATCACTGCCTTTCTGCACCTCTGTATTTGTGTTGTTAGCACTGCCAAGCTTTCATCTCTCTGCCTCTTCACTTTTAAGAATACTCATAAAGGACTCTCACCCAATTCTTAGAAGAATAAATTGATGAATGCAAATATAAATGGAGACTAAAATGACAAACCATTTTCGTTGTCATATTGCTTTATAGAGATTGACGATCTGGAAAGAAACAACTCTTCCATACCCAAGTGTCATCAGATTTCAAAACTGTTGCTTAAATTTGCCACTTTCCTTTATAGCTGTCAAACTCAATATGCATTTAAGAAAATAGCTTATTCTATGTTGCCACAAAATGATATCATAGTTGAAAGTTGACTATTCCATGGTGATTATGGAAATTAAATTTCTTACTTTAGAGAGAAGCCTGACATTCTTTTTTAGAGATAGAAATTTGAGGTCAATTCTTTATGAAGAAATTATCTAAAGAATAAATCCAGCTATAGGAAAATGTGAGTATGTGGCAAACCTAATCAAAGCCTTCCAAGATGGTTTTTACACTGAAGTCTCTGATATCTCTTGTTCTGGCAAACTTCTGCTCCAGGATACTCTGGTAATTCTGGACACATTTGACATAGAGGCAAGAGGCACAGTGAATGCTTGGCTTGCAGGGAGCTGTTCCATTCTTGTCTGGGGGACAGAAGGGATATACCTGGTCCATATTGGCTTGCATTGTGCTCATTGTTCTATGTTAAGAGTTTTCTTGTATGGTAGCTTCTATAGTTCAAGTAATTATTTTGAGAGCACTGAGTATTGTTAAGATTTTTGTATGTGAGTTGGTTATAATTACTGGAGTTATATACAGAATGGATTGATTAACATTTTTGCTTTTCCTTTTACTTGTACTCATAATGTTAATTCTTCAGTTGCTTTCTAAAGTCAAAAGGTATGTTAGTCTTCTTAATGAAAAATATTAACTTAGAATTCTATATTTCAGTCTTTTAAATGTAATTCTAAGGCCTTCAAGTTTTACTGTTGAATTCCTTTTAAGAAAACAAATTCTTTTTTCTAGGTTATATTTAAAGGCTCACTAAGTGATTCTTGGGTATACACAGATATTTAATGTGTAGTGGTTAACCAAACCATTTCTCTGGTGGGTTTACTAGCTCACATATGCTTAATAGAGAATATACAATGACGAAAGAGAATTGTAAGCTATGTAACTGTTAACATATAATCCTATCTTGGATTTCCAGGGGGGAAATAAATGAAGTTTCTTCAGTCCCTTTTATTTTTACTAGAAAAGTTATTGGACATAATTTATTGCTCGATTTCAAGTTTTATTAACTACTTCAGATCACAACATAATTTCCCTATTTCTATCAGCAAGTGTTGAATCTTTGCTAGGTTTTGTGTTTAATATATATTTAAAAAGTTCAACTTTAAATATAGGAGAGGCTAAAATGGAAGTGCAGTTGCTCAGATTCTGGTTCTTGCTTCTTTTTTCAGTTCTGCCAACCATCCAGCATGGGCAGCAGATACTCAGTACAATTGAAGGTGTTCCAATAACTCTACCATGCAAAGCAAGTGGAATCCCCAAACCAGCTATTGTCTGGTCCAAGGTAAATGACACAATTGGTGATGTCCATTAATGTCACACATTATACCAACAATAGTTGAATATTTTTGGTCAGACATGGTACTAAAGGAAAATCTATGCAGCTATGTCAATTAAGGCACTCTTAAAGGGTATCAACTGCAATTACTAGCTGATTCTTGAACAGTATTACCAACCCATCGGTGTACATGTGGCAGCACACTCTGTGTGTCAGGACCTTCACTAAGCTGCTTCCATTAGCAGATTCAACCCTCAGCCCTTCTGCTTTGAGCCACTCTGGGAGGCAGCTTGTACCCTCTGCCACACTTCATGCATGTACCTCACTGCTTTTTTGGACTCAGGGTTTTCTCAAAATCCCAGAAGGCCACTCAGTCCTCACCCAGGGAGTCAAGAATTTGACTCTTGTGGGGAAGAGTAGGTGTCCTATAAAAATGCCCTGCTTTTTCTCCTTCAGAAGAATTATTCTGAGGTACATCTGCATAGCTGGAGGTTCTTCGTGTTGAAACTCATCAGCCCAGCCACAGAGGCAGCAGAGCAGTGGAGCCCTTGATTAGCTTACTTCTCTTCTTCCTTCTTTTCTGCTCAAGCCTCTGGGGATCACATTCTGAGTAAATTTCCCACTCCCACAGCTTTATCTCAATCTGCTCTTCTGTGAAGCCAAAATATGACACATATACAAGCTCATTTATTCCCTACTATATCCTTGTCATGAAGTTGTTCGACTTTTACTTGTATTGCAGTGAGGAAAAACCCATTTCCTGAGGAAGTCCTTTCCATCTTTGAAAAACCATGAAGATGGCATATTTTCTATAAATTAATTTAAATTTGGCAGATAAAAAATAATTTTAAATTATGGAATAATAATGAAATATGGCATTTGTAATATTAGTGCTACAACCAAAATATTTTACTGTACCATCTAACTTTATATATCTGAAAATCTTTCAAATAATGCACAGTTTCAGTTCCAAACCACCATAATAAAGCAAATATTTCAATAAAGTGAGTCACATGAATTTTTGGTTTTTCAATACATATAAGTTATGTTAAGATTATACTATAGTCTTTTAAGTGAGCAATAGCATTATGTCTGAGAAAACAATTTATATACCTTAATTTAAAATACTTTATTGCTCTAAAATCATCTGAGATTTCAGATTATCAGGATGGTGATTGCTGAAGGTTGGGGTGGCTGTGGCAATTTCTTCAAATAAGACAACAATAAAGTTTGCCACATTCATGGATTCTTCTTTTCACAAGACTTCTCTGTAGCATGTAATGTTTTTGGGAGCATTTCACCCACAGTAGAACTTCCTTCTAAATTGGAGTCTGTCCTCTCAAACCTTGCCACTGATTTTTCTACTACATTTATGCAATATTCTAAATCTTTTGTTGTCATTTCAACAATGTTCACAGAATCTTCTACTGAAGTAAATTCTGTCTTAAAAAGCTGCTTTGCTGGCTCACTCATCGGAAGCAGCTCCTCATCCACTGAAGTTTTACTGTGAGATTGTAACAGTTCATTTACATCCTTAGGTTCTACTTTATTCTATTTCTCTCATTATTTCCACCACATCTGCAGTTTCTCCTTCCACCAAAGTCTTGAACTCCTCAAAGTCATCTATGAGGGCTGGAATAAACATCTTCCAAGCTATCTTTGATATTTTTATTCCCTTCCATGGGTCATGAATTTCATTAATGCTATCTAGAATGGTCAATCTTTTCCAGGTTTTCAAGTTACTTTGCCCAGAGGAATCACTATCTATGGTAACTGGCCTTCAGCATGTATCCCATAAGTAATAAGTCTTGAAATTCAAAGTGATTCCTTGATCCATGAACTGTGAAATGGATGTTATGTTAGCAAGCGTGAAAGTAACATTAATCTCCTTGAACAACTTCATCAAAGCTCTTGGGAGACCAAGTAAATTGTTAATAAACAATAACACTTTGAAATGAGTATTTTCTGATTACTAGATCTCAACAGAAGACTTAAAATACTCAATAATATAAACCATGCTGTCTATATGCTAATATATTAGACATGCTAATGTCCACACTTTGTGTTTCATTTAAAGACCTCAGACAGAGTAGCTTCAACACCATTCTAAAGAGGCCCAGTTTTTTTCAGAGTGATAAATAAGCATTGGCTTAAATTTAAAGTCACTAGCTGTCCCCTAACAAGAGAGTCAGTCTGTCCTTTGAAGTTTTGTAACCAAGAATTGACTTCGGCTACTTTGGCTAGCTATGAAAGTCCTAGATGTCATCTTCTTTCTTATACTGTAAAGCTATTTCATCTACACTGAAAATTTACTGTATTGTATAACCTCCTCCATCAATGATCTTAGTAGATATTCTAGATAACTTATTACAGCTCTATCTTAGCACTTGCTATTTTACCTTGCAATTTTATGTCAGGAATATCATCTTTCCTTACCCCTCATAAACCAAGCACTGCTATCTTCAAACTTTTCTCCTGAGGCTTCTTTACCTCACTCATAATTCATAGACTCAAAGAGAGTTAGTAGGGCCTTGTTCTGGATTCGGCTTTGACTAAAGGGAAAGTTGCAACTGATTGGTCTTCTCTCCAGGTCACTAAAACTTTCTCTATATCAAAAATAAGTCTGTTTTGCTTTCTTATCATTAATGTATTCTCTGGATTAGCACTTTCAACTTCCCTCATGGACGTTTCCTTTGCATTCACAACTTGGCTAAATCTTTGGCACAAGAGACCTACTTCTCACCCTCTTTCAGCCTTTGACATGCCTTCCTCATCAACCTTAATTTACAGTGAGTGACATGTGACTTTTCCTTTCACTTGAGCACTCAGGGCTATGGAAATTTCAGGGCTATGGAAATAGGGACACCTGAGGAGAGGGAGAAAAATGGAGCAGCAGCCAGTCAGGGGAACAGTTAGAACACATATAACATTAGTGGATAAAGTAGGCCATCTTATGTGGGTACAGTTTGAGGCATCCCAAAAAAATTGCAATAGTAACACAAAGATAACTGATCACAGGTCACCATAACAGATATAATAATAATGAAAAATTTTGAAATATTGTGAGGATTACAAAGTGTGACATACACACACCATGTGAGCACATGTTGTTGGAAAAATGGCACCAATTGACTTACTCAACACAAGATGGCCACAAACATTCAATATTGTAAACATCTCAATATCTGGAAGTGCAATAAAATGAGGTGTCCCCAGGAAAAAGACTAATTAATACAAAGTAAAAATCAAAAGCAACAAGCAATTATAAACCAGAGACACACTATGGGGGAGGGGGGAAAGGAAGGATTAGGGTCAAAAATAAGGGGGGTGCAATTGTATGGGGAATATAACCAAAATGGAAATGCATACATTGTGCAAAAATGAAAAATGATGTAAGAATTATATGAAATAAAATATTAAAAAAAATTCTTAAAAACTGAAAAAAAAAATGAGGTGTCACTATACAGAGAAGTTGGTAAGTCGACAGCTTTAAATGAAATTAAAAGATAAAGATTTCTGCATTCTGGACAAAAATTACATGATGAAGGTGATCCCCAAACTGACAGTGTCTGGCGTGGAGTAGAAGTTTAATGCATTTTAGGGAAATACAAAATGGAAATCTTTCCAAGCTGGCCTGGGTGCTATGGGCAAGCACAGAGGTTAAAAGTTTGGGGTTCAGAGTCTAACTGCTAGGTTCTAGTTCTTTATCACTGGCTGACTCTGTGACCTTGGGCTAGTTGCTTCACCCCTCCCTCCAGATTTTCACATTTCCTTCTGTAAAATGGGGTTGTGGTAGTTTCTCCTCATAATGTTTGTGTGGCCAGTTAAATAGCACTCAGGGCAGTACCTGGCTCTGCATAAGCACTGACTCATCCACTGCTGTTCCCATTCCCCCCTATATTTTTCAACAGCTCTATAATGAAGAGGACAGGGTTTAGTATGATGAAATAGCATCTTAGCTTTGTCTAATCTTTCTTATCAATAACTGCCTTCATTTTTTAAATCTACTCATTTCTCTTTGGAAATATTTTTTAAAAGATTTATTTATTTAGGCATACAAGAACTAGGGTACAGACCAGAGGTGTGGGGGGCAGTGAGAGGATTCATCAGAGACAGAGTGGGGAACATAACAGCCAGATCTACTGAAATACACTGCTGAGGGAAGTAGCGGGTGAGACAGGAGAGGTCTGCTGTACCAAGTGGGTAGCTCCCTGGCCAGGGATTGAACTCATGCTGCAGTGGCTGTGGACAGCTTCATAGGTTGCGTCTTAACCCCCTGCACCACCAGGGAGGCCCTCTCTTTGGAAATATTTTGTTCCTCTCTCTTCCAGTCTATCAGTCACTTCTTTAGGATCTTTTCTCACACATTTTATTAATTTGTCAGTTAGTTACATAGCTACGTCATTGGTGAGGGGTAGGGAGCACATCTTCACACTTCCATGTATGCACCAACTACACTCATGAACACTTTGGTCTTTGCTGTCTTCTGCAGAAAGGAGAGCTGATTTCTACTAGCAGTGTGAAGTTCTCAGCTGGGGCTGATGGGAGTCTGTATGTTGTATCCCCCAGTGGTGAGGAGAGCGGGGAGTATATCTGCACAGCCACCAACGCAGCTGGCTACGCCAAGAGGAAAGTACAGTTAACTGTCTACGGTGAGAGCCCTGGAGGACTGGGTTTCTCGAAATCTGTCTGTGCCAAAACTCATGTTTCTCTCCCAAATAATGTTATAAGGACTGGACCCCTAAAGCAAACTGTTCCCCCAAGTTTATAATTTTTTTACATGTGCATTTTCACTACCAACCAGCATCTCCTTTACTTAGATTTTGATATAAAGGGAGGCTACTTTTTAAGTCTTTTGGAAAAATTTTATGGTGTTTTCCCAAGGAGTAGGTTTATTGCACCCAGTGCTCTTCAGAAACACCACTTAGTTAAAACTCTTAATGAAGCCAAACCTCAGCTATGTCTTGGTTAGTGCTCTGCCTTGAGGGCTTTCTTTTGCAGACGGCAGACTCTAAAGGGCATTGCAGCCAACCTCTTCATTATGTTCTGAAAGGAAGAGCAGAAAAGGGAAACTTTCTAAATCATTTTCATTTTAGCTCTCCTAGTAAGTGTATTAATGGAAAGTTTTAGATATTCTCCAAAATTTTAGAATAAACATTTTGGTAAATTACTTAAGAATATAAGGACATTAGGTATTTCTAAATTTCCATGTAAATTAAAGTACACTTTGTTTTCAGCGGATTATTTTTCTTCCAAAACGTGTGTTTATTTTAGTAAGGCCCAGAGTGTTTGGAGACCAGCGAGGACTGTCTCAGGACAAGCCTGTGGAGATCTCTGTCCTTGCAGGGCAAGAGGTGACACTTCCCTGTGAAGTAAGGAGCTTACCACCACCCATAATTACCTGGGCCAAAGAGACCCAGCTCATTTCTCCATTCTCTCCAAGGTAGGAATCTTGGGTGAATTGCAGCCGAAGAAAACTTCATCTCTTGGGTCATGTGGTTCTGTCCCTGTTCAGATTTTTATTTATTTATTTATTTTTAAAGATTTATTTACTTTTTATACAAGAATTTGGGTACAGGCCAGATGTGCGGAAGGGTGAGAGGATTCACCAGAGGCAGAGTGGGGAACAGAACAGGCAGACTGAAGAAATACATTGCTGAGGGGAGCAGCGGGCGAGACAGGAGAGGTCTGCCTCACCATGTGGGATTCTCGCCAGCCAGCCGGTATTGAACCCATGCTACAGAGGCTACAGACAGCTTCACAGTGCGGTGCTCAACCGCCTGTGCCACCAGGGAGGCCCTGTTCAGATTTTTAAATGTCTCACAATTTTTTTTAATTTCCTAAGTGGTGTATTTTACTTAGAGTTTGTGTGGCTCACATTTAACAAGGGAAGCTTTTGTCAATTGTAGTTTTTATCACTATGCATATCTTGGTTTCTACATTACTGGCAAAGTTTATGTTTTGCTCATATTTTTTTCCTGATCAACTTAGATTCAATTTATTTATGTATAAACTTTATTTTAGGGCTTTCCTAAGCAGTCTGGTTAGTCCAAGCTTTTGTCTTAATATATTGGGCAATAGCAGTGGTAACAAATACCTTGTTTTTATTATCAAGGGATTAAGGGCAGATCTCAGTTAGCTATGGCCATGAGAGAATAGTTTTAAAAAAAAAGTTATGGAAGAAGAAAAAAAGAGTCTACAAAAATGAGAAGAACTTCACCTAACTTGTCAAGAGTACTAGCCAAAAGAAAAAAAATCAGATTAAGAGGTCAGAAAATGAGAAATTCAGTTAGAAATAGCCGCAAAATTAAGATTTAAATTTAGGATAATTTAGATGTACATCCAGCCTTTTGAAAAGATATAAACTTTCTAAATCATTATTTATTTTTTTTTTAAATATTAAATTTTATTTTTATATTCCCCCATACAATTGCAAATGCCCCATTCTGACCCCAATCCTTCCCCTCCCGCCCCCCACCCCCAAAAAGTGTCTCTGGTTCATAGTTTTTTGTTGATTTTGATTTTCACTTTACTTTCTTATATTCATTTTCCTGGTCCCTTATTTAAGTTTTCTAGATTCCTGCTATGAGTGAGACCATCCGGTATTTTTCTTTTTCTTTTTGGCTTATTTCGCTGAGCATGATCCCTTCCAGTGCCATCCATGTTGCTGCAAATTGCATGTGTTTATCTTTTTTGAATGCTGAGTAATATTCCATGGTATATATGTACCACATCTTCTTGATCCAGTCATCTATTTTTGGGCATTTGGGTTGTTTCCAAAGCTTAGCTATTGTAAACAGTGCTGCTATAAACATTTAGAATCAAAAATGCCAACATCCATCCCTGGCATAATTTCCCACTGGTACATCTTGCAAGGGAGTAATTACAACAGAACAAATTTATGTGTAGATTCTTGTTATAGCCGGTGTATATCACACACAGAATTCTGTTAATCCCAATGGAGCAATAAATAGATAGACACTCTGATATGGGATTTTGATGGTTTGTAAAAATCTTCTTGATTAAACCATTACACAAATAAAGGCCTACTGAGATAGTATATTTGATAGGCTAAGTGGTGTGAAAAGCAGAATGCCAAAGCATTTAAGATCACAACCTTTGTTGCCAGGCAGGTTTCAGTTTAATGTTATCTCCATGACTTAAGCTTGCTTGAAACTCTCTGTGATTCTGTGATTTTTTTTCAACAAGACTTTCTGAGTTCCAGATTTTTTGTTTATAGAATGGGATAAAACTTACCTGAAATTATATGAGATAATGTATATTCCACACTCCCTGTGTCAAATTCACAAGGAATGGGAGCAATTACTATTTTAACTCGACATCACGCCAGAATTTACTGGCAGAATGAGAACTATAGTCTCTAGATAGTGTCTGTTAGACTTGTTGATATGTAATTATGAAGTTATAGATTAACACCAGTATAGTTTCTCTCCCATTGGTGACGAGAATGATAAACAGAAACAACTTTACAGTAAAACCTTACTATTACAGTAAAAAAAAATTGCTATGAATGTTTTTGAATAAAAGAAACACCATACTACAGACAAGATGAAGTTTTATTCTCCCACTCTCCAGTGATTATCTTTTTTCTCCCTTTCCAAGAGCAAACACTGCCCAGACTTGGCATTCTGTATATACAACCTTGAACAGGATAGAATGTTGTTTTTGTGTGTCTGTTTTCAATTTTCCATTGTAACATATCCCATATTATTTTTCTTGTACTTGCTTTATAAAATCAGCATTTATCCATTTTGAGCATATAGATTTAGGTTTTTTTTTTATTTTAACAAGTATATGGCACATTTTATTTATACATTTCCCTATTCATAGAAATGTATGTTCTTTTGTTTTTCTCTCTTCTCTAGATGGCATGATAATTAATCTTTCCATGTGGAAAGTTAGTTGTCCAATGCCATTTGGACTAGCCATTCCATTCGTTGGTTTTTGTAATGTCACCTCTGATATTGCACATTACACAGATAGTTTTCCTATGTTTAAAACTTGTGTTTTGGGTGGGATGCTGGGGTATCTGGCCTTAACTATTTTTCCATTTGCCTGTTTGATCACTTTATTCATCTTAACTTTATAATAAATGTTGGTATTAAGTAGATCTATCTGGCCTTCTCCACACTTTGGAGTAGTTCCATAAAGGATATCTAAAGTGCCATGTTCTGTGTGGTTTCTTTCTCTTAGACACATGTTTCTCTCTTCTGGCTCAATGAAGATCACTGAGACTCGAGTTTCTGATAGTGGGATGTACCTTTGTGTTGCCACAAATCTTGCTGGGAATGTGACTCAGTCCGTTAAATTAAATGTCCACGGTGAGTTTTGAATGAGAGAGTGTAGTCACTCTGAGGACTGGCCTTGTGGAAACCATCATCTGTTTCTTTGACAGTTTACCCCCAATTGTGTAGAGGGTCTTTGTAGAAAAAAAAAATGTCTAAAATCTGAAACTTGTGATTTTCTGTCATTTATTCTGAAAAGTTTATCTGCCATTTATAAACAAACTTCTCCTTGGTCCTCAAATGATAGTATGATTTTTGTATCTTTATTTTGCTTGTTGCCCATAATCAATTATGACTATTGTTGATTTAACAGTAAACAAATATGTATTCAGATGGGTGGGATTTTGTAGAAATGATTGTGAGTTCTCAGAGAGGGATTTACTAGTATTAAATAGCCATTTTCAATATGTAAGCAGCTCAGCAACTGAAAAAAATATACTTCCTAGGATTCTTTTACTACTTTAAGACTCTCTAGTTAATGTACTTTTATTCCCTCAATTTACCATAGTCTAGTTATTTATTTGTTTGACACGTACTTATTGAGTACTTACTCTAAGCAGTACTTACTCTAGGTGTTGGATATTCAAATATCATATGTTTTCTCAGATTGTACTGACCTGATTTAGCTCACATCAATCACAACAGTAGTGTCCTGTTGATCATGGGATTGAAAATCCTGAGAGACTTCTGTTATTTCCTAACCCTTGGGAATTAACTATATTACCTATATATTAAGTATATTGCCTCTTTAGTTTTGTCTTCTAAAATAATGATGATGATGATGATGATACTATTAAAATAATAAAGTTGTTTTAAATGACAGCCTGTGGAAAGTATTTCTTAAATACGAACTTAAAAAAAGAGAAATGCGCCTTCTTAAGGATGTAATATACATAAATTGTAATTACATCTTTGTAGGTCAACTTGATTCTGTAGTGGACAGTGAATGTATGTGGAATGAATGTATTTGTCAGTGTTTTGATAAATTATCTATTTAAATTTCAAAAGGAAGGTAAATAAAAGGAAATAATTGAAGCTCTATTTTGATTCTCTTCTCTGAAATTAGCAAAGGCTTCTATTAAAAGTTTTTCTTAATATCTGATTAAACCTTTCAAAAAGGGAGCAAAACCTGAGAGTACACGGGGAGAACTTTTTTATTATAGGAGTTGTCTGAATTGTCTTTTTACAGAGTTTTAAACCTAAAGTTATTTAAAATTAAAAAAAAAAACTAGCATGCTTTTTCTTATTGAGGTAACATTGGTTTACAGTGTTATGTTGTTTGTGACTTAGTGGTCCAGGCTCTTCCCCTTCAGGTATTTTTACCACCCTGCACCAACCACCAAGACACCCAGAGTCCTCCACCATAGCCCATTATGCGCGCCCCCATTTTTGTTCTCTCTCCTTCCTCCCCAATCTGGTTGTCTCAGTCCTGAAGTCCTATTTCTAGAGCTCGCTATTGATTTGACTTTATATGACCCTTTGTTTTGAAAAAATTCAACATATGTAAATATTTTCATTCAAGTTTGGAATGAGCAGTTTTATCCTTCTCATTCCCCATAGTCCTAACAGTGTGTTGCCGAGAAGGGGTTATTTTGCCTAGACTATTAAGGAAACAAGTCTCAGGAAATTTCCTAATTTGCCCTAGATCACACATCTCAATGACCTGAGCCTGAGATTGTTGCACTTTCTTAGGCTGCCTCTTGGTGAGGAGCTCTCATTTAGAATGAAAAAAGGAATTTCTTTTTAAATTGCTTCTTAATACTCAATTTTTGTTTTCAGTTCCTCCAAAGATACAGCGTGGCCCTAAACTTGTAAAAGTCCAAGTTGGCCAAAAAGCGGACATCCCATGCAGTGCTCAAGGGACGCCTCCTCCTGTGATCACCTGGTTGAAGGGTGGCAGTGCCATGCCGCTTGATGGAGTGCAGCAAGCTAGCAGTCCAGATGGAACATTGCACATCAACCACGCCCTGCTCTCAGATGCTGGCATTTATACCTGTGTTGCTACTAACGTAGCGGGCAGTGAGGAAACAGACATAACACTACAAGTCCAAGGTGATTTTTGGCATAGGAAACTGTGTGTATGGCAGTGTTGGGAGTGGAAAAATAACCTGTAGTCTACACAAAATATTTAGTCTTGAGTCACAGTGGGAAGATTATTATATATTTTTTATAACTGGTAACTTTGGAAGGAGAATCACTCCATACTATTACTAAAATCACACCCATCCCATTTTCATATATTTACTTTTGAAATTGAAGTTGGAATGAATGGTGCAGATGATGGAAACAATTCTGGAGAAGTGAACCATCCACTACTTTCGGTTGAGGAAAAGTTGTGGATGGGGTAAATCAACTTAAAAAGTTCAGCTGGTTGCATTCCAGTACTGATTGATTTGTGATAAAATGGCACACACAATCAGGAGCAGATGAGCCAAGATGAGAGAGTTTAGACTTTAAGTGCAATGAAAAGACAGGTTATTCCTGGGAAAGTGATATGTCATATCAGATTTGGGATTTTAAAAGATGACTTTTTGGGGAGAGTATGATTTGGATAGAGAAGACGAGGGGAAATAATTGAAGATTGTTGCAGTTGTTCAGACAAGAGATGATGGGAGGTGAACTGAAGAAAGAAGAGAATGGAATCAAAGAATTAAGGGAGAAAATCATCAGTATGTAGTGATGGATTGGATGGTGGAGTGCAGGGTTCAAGAGTGAGTCACAAATTTCCTCACGAAATTAGATGATAAAACTGTTAAGGGGGATTGGATTACTGACAGGGTACAAAACAAACAGGCTTGAAATTTTATTCCACAGACAAATGGAATACAAGTAACGATTTTAAGCAGGGAGGTCACACAGAATTTGTGGTTCAGAGAGAATATTTTGAGGGTTTTGTAGAATATGAATTCAGAGGAGAGCATGTTTGAGAGAAGGGTCCCCCTCAGGAGCCTATTGAAATATTTCTGGCAAGCAAAATTAGTATTTGAATAAGCTGTATCTGGCTCTATACATGGTGCAGCTGTGTGATTGATTGGCTGTGGAGGTCAGGAGTAAGGATGAAAGATGTAAGACACACTGGGTGGAGCCTGATACTGAGGGAATAAAGTTCATGTCAGCAGTGTGAGAAGCATGAAATTATAAATTCTAAAAATGGAATTGAGTTTTAAATCCTTGGGCCACATCTAGGTAGAAATGTCTGAGGGCTAGAAATATGAGTCCTATGAGAATCAGGAATGATAACAATTCACCCCTCTAAGTGGTTGAAGAAAGATACCTTAGGAGAGTTTGACTTTGCCCAAGGATAGTCTGTGAAAATGCATTTATTTTTCTAACAGAACCACCTGCACTGGAAGATCTAGAACCTCCATATAACACTCCATTCCAAGAAAGAGTGGCCAATGAACGCATTGCATTTCCATGTCCTGCAAAAGGTGTGTAATACTTAGACATATGGGCATCAGCATAGTATAATATTGTTCCAGAATTCTGTAGTAAACTCAAACCATCACCTGCTTGGTGATGACAAACCACTTGGTGACAAACTACCACTTGTCCTTTCTCCAACATTTGAAAATATTAGAAACCAATTCCCCTTTGAAATAACAGCTAAGTAGTATTTTCCCCTCATAGGTATTTAATTTCCTTCAGTGAAGAGACCCTTCCATTCTTTCCAATTTGCCTCATGTTTATAATGTGTTTTTAAGGTAGTAGAGACTCCTTCCTATTACTTCAGAATTCATTTTTTTCTGACAAGATTTCTTTGTAAAATATGAAAAGTATCACAAGTAAAAACATATTGTACAATTATATCACTCAGTTAGAGGTACAAATTAGAACCATCCCCTTGCTTTTTCTGAACATTTCCTTTCTAAAAATCTCTTTTCCTAGACTTACCCTCCAATGATAATTCTAGGGCCCAGATGTAACTTGGCATCTGAGGCTTGTCTAGGCCTCTCATCTTCTGAATTTCTGGACTTTCTATCCCACCATGTCTCCTAGCAAGAAAGAGACACTGTCGCTGTTCCTTTATTATATGCCCAGTAGGTGGTTAAGAACATTCTTTCATGTCCGCATTCATCTGCAGTGGGTTTGCAGCAGTTCTGGAAACGCCCAAGCAGGATTCTTTCCATAACCTCCTGGGGGACTCCGTGCGACTGGTGCTATTAGTGTTCCCACATATGCCTCTTAGCTGTTGCTACTGGAAGCAATAGAATTGAAGGTCCTCCTCTCTGACTCATGTTTCTGGAGCAAGATTTTGTATCTCTCAACAGTAGCTCTCCCCAATGATTATTTTCTAATAGCACTGAAAGAAAAAGAACTTCACAAGCTTTTCAGATTGCAAGAATTATCAGTAACCATTCCCAGAGCCAGAGAGGAAGGATCCAGGAGGCCTGGAGAGGAAAACTTTAGAAAGATTTCAATTTGGAAGCCTATTGTGGGTGTTCACGCCTTCAAGACTCCTGCCAGGGGCACTCTTGCTCCTTGCTCTCCACTGGATCCCTTACTCCCAATGTTGAACTTGGTTGAATGTCCCTTTTGAGAGCTGTTTGACTTCCCTTTTATACTTTGAAAAAGCACCTCTTCCTAATTGCCCATTTTCATGTGGGATACAATTCTTGAGATCATTTTTTTTCTTTTTTTTTTGAAGTGGGGTACAGGCCAGAGTCGCGGGGGGTAAGAAGATTCATCAGAGAGAGTGGGAGCAGAGCAGGCAGATGTATCGAAATACACTGCTGAGACAGGAGAGGCCTGCTGCGCCATGTGGTTTGCGCCCCAACCGGCTGGGGATCGAATTTGTGCGGTAAAGGCCGCAGACATCCTCCAGCACTGCATTCAACCCCCTGCTCTACCAGGAAGGCCCAATTCTTGAGCTCATTTAAAGCAATTTAGATGCCTTTTCATTATCTTTTGCTATTCTCTCTATCTTGACCATGATTGTTCTGCATTTATAAGTTAAAAATAATATAAGTTCTTTGTTTTTGCTTGTTCATTTGCTTGTTCATTTATTAGCTCCACATATATTAATAGAGAAATCTGACTGAAGTCCATAAAGAAATGAATGGGATGTAAGGAAGTGATTATATAACCCCTCTTTTCCTTGACAACATGGACAGACAACCATAATCCATCAATTTTACCTCTCATCAAGTCAACACTACTGGCACAGTGAAATAGGCCAATCTTTTTTGTTTTATTTATTTCCCATAAAAATAACTTTCCTAGTCACTTTTATAAGTATTTATAGCTCAATTTGAGTTTAACTTTAATGACATTCGTATGCTTTAGCTACTCTTTTATACTAGTCTTTGATTTTATGACCAAAAAGATAACATTTTTTAATTATCCTTTAATATGAAATTATAAATAATATCTTATGCAATCCTGTTAATTTTATTTACTGTGCTTTATTTTTATCTTTGGACAGATTAAGTTAAATTTTAAAGTACTTAGGTTAGTGCGTGACATACTTTTTGTTAAATACATGTATTCTTAGTGTTAGTGTTGGTCTATTTTCAGTGTGTCCTTTCGCTCCATTATGCACATGAAAAATGTTTTATCACTTTTACTTATGAGCATTTCACTTCCATTCACTCTGCTGGTTACAAATAAATCTAGGAAAACAATTCTCATTGCTTTCTCAACATTTTTTTAGCATAAAAAAGAATTCTTTCACTGTCCTATGTTTACAGCATGAGCTCTCCAGAATGTGTGTATGGTATAAGTTCCTCATCTCTTCTGACTTAGTCCTATTTAAAATATGAATTATAAAGCACCATTTCCATACACCATATGTGGACTGCACTTGGTTGGGCAATCTTGTTATATTCCTGCAACAGTATCTTATTTTTGCTCTGCCTTTATTTCCATGCCCCAACTCCCCCCATACTTACTTCATTCGATTCATATAGTATTTCCCAATAATTACCATGAATTCACTCAAGAAAATGCTTTGCTTTTATTACCATTATCTGAATGTTTTGACAAAACAGCTTTAATCAAATTCTGCACTAGAAATGAAAGTTCTCTTAAACATGATAAGGAATTGGAGACATTAAATATACTCTCTTTAAATTCCATGCCAGGAGGAATATTTTGAAAGTGGCATAATCCCTAAGTACAAATTGTAATCATAACAAAAATTGTATTTCCTTTCAACATACTTGATCCTTAATGATTTCTAGTTTTGTTGTAAGATTTCACAAGGCTTTAATTTCTTACTTAGGTACCCCCAAACCAACCATCAAATGGTTACGGAATGGTAGAGAGCTCACAGGCCGAGAGCCTGGCATTTCTTTCTTGGAGGATGGCCGGTTGTTGGTTATTGCTTCTGTCACACCATATGACAATGGGGAATACATCTGTGTAGCAGTTAATGAAGCTGGGACCACGGAAAGAAAATATACCCTCAAAGTCCATGGTAAATGTAACATAATATGTTAAAATCATGTCATTGATATGTGACATTTCCAAGTCTTTTATGTTTAAGTTATTCTCTCAGCATAGTATTACTTAATATGAATATGAATAGAAGTGATTTAAAATTTCATGGTAATAATTTATTGTGACTTTTATCACTCCAAATTGAAATGGTAAAAGAAGATGCATTGTCAAAAATTTGCTGGCTTGAGATAAGTTATTCAGTACTCATCCTCTCTAGGGGTAAGGAAAGTTATTAGCGGTGGGGCATGTGTGTGTGTATGTGTATATGTTAAGGCATATATAAGTAAATTATATATTATCCTCTTTTATGTGTAAAAAGGTTCATATATAGAACATTTTATCTATTACTCTGCACCTTGTCTATTTCACTAAATGTATAACTTGCTGGTTAGTCAACATTCCTCTTATATCTCCCTATGTGGTATTCCCCTTTATGGCTATACATGATTTACGTAGCCTTCCCTTATTAATGATGAGCATATGGGGTTGTTACCAGTTGTTTGCTATCATATGTAACACTTCAAAGAGAATTTTGTGCATTTGTCATTTTGTCTGAGCCAAAGGGTATGTACATTTTAAAATTTGTTGTGTATTGACTTCCATAGATTTGGGGCAATATTATTCCCATCAGCAAAGTAGTGAGTCCCACATAACTTAATGAAGTTCTTAGCAATTTGCATTTTGAGTGGTATATGAAATAGGTTTCCCATTTATCCTTACTTCAAAACTCTGACGTAATAATTAAATACAAATTCCATAAGTTACTTTGTAAATATATTGGTTGATACTTTTCATTTTATAATAAGCTTGTGCTTAAATATGACAACTTTTAGCTATCAGATATCTTAAAATTTGCTTTTTAAAGTCTTTTGTAAAAATTTATAAATATTATTTATTATGAAACTAGTCATGGGTCCTCTCTTTTTGCAGTTCCTCCACTAATTAAGGATAAAGAACAAGTAACAAATGTGTCCGTGTTGGTCAACCAGCTGACCAATCTCTTCTGTGAGGTTGAAGGCACTCCCTCACCCATCATTGTGTGGTATAAAGATGATGTCCAGGTAACAGAGACATTCAATATGCATATTTTCTTGTCTCAAAATCTGAAAAAGTTGTTCAATGTGACTTTCTTATTAATAAGGTAGCAGTTTTACCTCAATGTTTTTATATTTAAAGATTTATTTATTTATGCATATAAGAACTAGGGTGTGGGCCAGAGGTGCTGAAGATACCAGTGCTGATCAAACATCAGTTGAACATCAACATTATGATATAATCAGTACATATGCTAAGAACTTATTATTGAATCATATCTTACTAGCAAGGGTGTTTTTAACTTCCGTTTCCATTCTACCACTTGAAGTAGCTGTTATTTTAGAGAAGACACATTAATTGAATAATGATGTTTATAAAATAGATGACTGGATCAAGATGTGGTACATATACACAATGGAATATTACTCAGCAATCAAAAAAAGATAAACTCATGCAATTTGCAGCAACATGGATGGAGTTGGAAGGGATCATGCTCAGCGAAATAAGTCAGAAAGAAAAAGAAAAATACCAGATGGTCTCACTCATAGTAGGGATTTAGAAAACCTAAATAAGGGACTAGGAAAAATACTAATTATAATAAAGTAAAAATCAATTTTTCATTATACATTTTATTAGGATTAGAAATAACACTGATCATTTTAACCCTTGCAGGTGGCTGAAAGCAACACTATTCAGATTGTGAACAATGGAAAGATACTAAAGCTCTTCAAGGTCACTCCAGAGGATGCAGGAAAATATTCCTGCAAAGCAATTAATATTGCAGGCACTTCTCAGAAGTATTTTAACATCGATGTGCTAGGTAAGGAAAACATCCTTTTAAAAACCTACAGTCCATATGCATATCTTATATCCAGCATAGCTGGCCATATGAAGGAATAAAGAGATAAAAAGTAAAGTGATAGGAAAAATATCTTTCATGTCACTGTATTATTATTTTTGTGTTTAATATTGATTAGTCTAAGACATATACTTTGATTTCACTCATACGTGTATGTAGAGAAAACAAACATGAATAAACTAAATAAAACTATACTAAAGACCAATTAGCAGTTATCAAAAAGGAAGTGGGAAGAAAGGGAGAGCAATTAGGAGAAAAGAGTCAATTGTACAGTAAAGGATAGAATTGGACTGTTAGTGGTGAGCTTGTACTACATACACATGTTGATTCATAGTGATGCTTGCCTGAAGTTTATATTAATGTTATAATACAATATTACATCAAGAAAAAAAAATCATATGTTGTAGAAAGTTTAAATATACATATACAAAGATGTATTTACATATTTGGTAGTCATACATAAAATAATACTAGTTAAATAATATTAACTATTAGTTATTTAACAACTAATAATAAAAGTAAAATAGTTATTACTTTTGTCAATTCCTACAATGCCTACCCTGTTAGGTAGGCAGAAAATTCTCTCAAAATTTTCTGTATCTGTACAGAATGATACAAAAAAAAATGCATTCATTCTGTTAACATCTCCTGAAGCTGCAGTTTGTACTTGAACTGGGGGAGGTAGCAAATCTACCTTCCCCTGCATTCTAATTAAATATTGTTACTAAATCACCTCTGGCCTCATTTTATTTTTATTTTTTATTTTTATTTTTTTTAGGTACAGGTAAGCATTTATTTTTTTTAAGATTTATTTATTTATTTATACAAGTCCTGGATACAGTCAGAAATGCAGGATGGTGAGAGAATTCACCAGAGCCAGAGCGGGGAACAGAACAGGCAGACTGATGAAATACACTGCTGAGGGGAGCAGTGGGCACAGCAGGAGAGGTCTGTCATGCCATGTGGGACCCTTGCTGGCAGCCAGTGATCGAACCGGCACTGCAGAGAGGCTGCAGGCAGTTTCGCAGCCCAGCGCTCAACCACTGCACCACCAGGGGAGGACCCTCATTTTATTTTTTAATTGAGATTACTTTGATTTATTTTTTTAAGAAGTGGAGTACAGGCCAGAGTTCCAGGGGTGAGCTGAGAAGATTTACCAGAGAGAGCAGGGAGCAGAACAGGCAAACTGACTGAAACACACTGTTGAGGGGAGCAGCAGGCAAGGCAGGAGAGGTCTGCTGCACTATGTGGCTTGCTCCCCAGCCAGCTGGGGATTGAACTCACACTTGAAAAGGCCATGGACAGCCTCACAGCGCTGTGCTCAACCCCCTGTGCCACCTCTCGGGGGAGGCACCGAGTTTACTTTGTTTATTACATTGTTTAGCTTCTTGGATACAGTGTTACACTTTGACATCTGTATGTATTACATTGTGATCATCTCTGACTTCTACTTTCCACCAACCAATATAATTGACCCTCCCTTTTTTTAAAGATTTATTTATTTATGCATACAAGCACTGGGGTACAGGCCAGAGGTGTTGGGGTGGTGAGAGGATTCACCAGAGACAGGAACAGAACAGGTGGACTGACTGAAATACACTGCTGAGGGGAGCAGCGGGCAAGTCAGGAGAGGTCTGCTGCGCTATGTCGGTAGCTCCCTGGCTACCCACAGTGGATTGAACTCATGCTGCAGTGGCTGTGAATTGCTTCATAGGTTGTGTCTTAACCCTTTGCACCACCAGGGAGGCCTGACCCCCTTTTCCATGTTACCATCCTCCTCCTTCCTTTCTGATAACCACTCTTCTGTGGTCAGAATCTTAGAGTTTTGTCTGCATTTGTTTCATTGCTGTTTCTTTATCTTCCATAATGGAGTGAAGTCATATAGTGTTTGTCTTTTCCATCTGACTTATTTTACTTAGTGCAATCCCGTCAATGTCCGTCCATGTTATTGAAACAGCAGGATTTCATCTTGTTTCATAGCTGAGTTGTATTCCATTGTGAATATGTTACATTTTCTTTATCTAGTCATATGTCAGTGGGCACATAGCTTGTTTCCAAGTTATGGCTATTGTGACTAATACTGCCCTGAACGTGGATGTGTATATATTTTTGAGATATGTTTTCATATTCTTTGGATAAATACCCAGCAGTGAAATAGCTGAATCATTTTGAGAACCTTAATCTTTTTGAGAAATCTCCATACTGCTTTCTACAGTGGTGCACCAATTTACATTCCCACCAATAGTAAACAAAAGTTCACTTTTCTTCACATACTCACCAACACACGTTTCTTATCATTTTGACAAAAGCTATTCTAACAGGTATGTGGTGATATCTTTGTGGTTTTGATTTGTATTTCCCTAACATTATAAGTGATGATGAACATCTCTATAATGTTGTCTACTAGCCTCCTGTAGACTTCTTTAGTGAAATGTATATTCAGATATTTAGATTTTCTGCCCATTTTTAAAAATTTGTTTATTTATACAGTAACTGGGGTATAGGCAAGAGGTGAGGGAGGGTGAAAGGATTCACCAGAGACAGAGTGGGGAATAGAACAGGCAGACAGACCAAAAATACTGCTGAGGGGAGCAGCGGGTGACACAGGAGAGGTCTGCTGCGCCATGTGGGAATCTCCCTGGCTGGCCGGGAATTGAACTCTTGCTTCAGAGGCTGGGGACAGTTTCACATTGCTGTGCTCAATCTGCTGTGCCACCAGGGAGGCCCTGCCCATTTTTTAATTGGCTTGTCTTTGTTGTTGTTAGTTGTATGAGTTGTTTATATATTTTGGATTTAGCTCCTTGCTAGATATATGATTTGCAAGTATCTTCTTTCATAGGATGCCTTTTCATTTTGACAATGATTTCTTTTAACATGCAGAAGCTTTTTACTTTGATGTAGTTCTGTTTATTTCCCCCTTCATTTCCTTTTGCATTGGAATCAGATAACTCTTAGGCCAGTGCATAGAGGCTATGCTCTGTTTTATTCTGTTTTATAGTTTCAGGCTTTACATTCAAATGTTTATTTTGAATCAGTTGTTGTGTGGTAGATACTGATATAGTTTCAGTTTTTGCATGTGGAAGTCCAGTTTTTTCAACATAATTTATTGAAGATATTTTCCTTACTCTATAATATGCTGTTTACTCCTTTGTCATAAACTAGTTGTCCATTTATTTGTGAGTTTATTTCTGGACTTTCAATTCTGTTCCATTGTTCTATGTGCTTGTTTATACTCGAATTCCACAAATTTTATTGCTATTGCTTTGTAGTAGTTTGAAGCCAGGGAGTATAATATCTCTAGTTTTCTTTTTTTTTTTTTTTTGCTCATAGTTCAAATTCTAATCATGAGGGGAGAATTATGACAGCAGTAGCAGCTGTAATATGTTGGGGTACAAAGCATTTTAAATTTTTTAATGATAATCATGCATTTAAAATTTTATAACTTTAGTTTGTGAAATTATATTTGTTATTTAAAGTTCTCTTTGTGATAAAATTACTTTGTACTGATTCAGTATTTTACTTTTCAAAATGGTTTATGATTCATAAGTCTGGGGTGGAAGTGAGGTCTAAGAATGATGCTGCAGTAAAATTACCAGTCATAAATTGTTGTAACATAAAAATAATGCCTCTCATTAGTGTTCTGACATACTGAAGTACTTCACATTTCCTCTACCAGTGAGTACGATTATTATATTTAAGTGTAGTTTATAAAAACAACGTATCATTTTCTATCATTAGTTTCATTGGCATCATTTCTGCTGGCACTTATTTAATGTGGATTCCATCTGTGTGCCAATAACTCCCCAATTTTTATCTCCAAGTCAGACTTCTTTTTTGAGCTCCAAGGACAGTATTTGTATTCTTCATTATAGTATCTTGACTTGATTCCCTTAGTGAGATATCAAACAGACATCTGTTCTGGTCACCTTTAGTGGCGATCCCCCTCATAGTGACTGGCACCTCCACCTATCCACTTAGTCTTTCTGGAACCTGAAGGCGGAATGGAAGTCCTTCTCATTCCTCCTGCCTCCCTTTCCCTAACTCCTTCAATCTATCTACTACCTATGAAGCCCGCTTCTTAATTCCATGTTAACTTATCCATTTCTTTCCATTTCCACTGTTAAAATATCATTAATAAGCTGGATGAATGCAATGCCTCTTTTTTAAGATTTATTTTATTTATGCATACAAGAGCTGGGGGACAGGCCAGAGGTGTGGGAGGTGAGAGGATTCACCAGAGACAGAGTGGGGAACAAAACAGGCAGATCAACTGAAAAACACTGTTGAGGGTAGCAACGGGAGAGACAGGAGAGGTCTGCTGCACCATGTAGGTTGCTCCCTGACTGGCTGGGGATCGAACTCATGCTGCGGTGGCTGTGGACAGCTTCATAGGCTGTGTCTTAACCTATTGTGCCACCAGGGAGGCCCTGCAATGGCCTCTTAACTGCTCCCCTTCAAACACTGTCCCTCAAATCCACTATTCATTCAACAGCCAGTGAGGTCTTAAAACACAGACTTGATCACACCCCTCCCCTAATGAGGCCCTTTAGTTACTGGCCATTGCTCCGAAAATGAAGACCAAACCTTTTAATATTAGGTGAAGGGAGAGGACTCAAAGGTTTTTAACATGCTTGATAATCCTGAGGATAAAATCTGGTATTGTTCCCATTTCATCATATACCAATGTTGACTCAGGAGTCCTTTAAGAGAGACAAGGATAATTTAGTTCAATAAACACTGGTGTGATATGTAGAATTTGAACATTATAAGATTGATATTGACAGTGTCATTGATTGTCATTTAAAATGTATAGCAGTGGTATAACATGAGTTTTACTGTTGACTTACATTCTAAACTCCATTTGTACAACAGTCCTCAGTATGAATACTACAGTATCATAATTCTTACAGGTGTCCTACTAGAATAGCTTTTAAATGTGTTTCTATATTTAAATTTAACATTTGGATCCACTGATAGGATGTGAAAAGGGATTATTGTGTAATATTTTATTTTTAACACAAAGGTCTTACTGAAATGTTATAATCATCATTGTTCATTATCTGTTCCCCTTCTCCCTTCTCTTTTTGCTAAGTCATAGATTCTCATGATAAAATATCTTTGTTCAAGTTCCACCCACTATATTAGGTACCAACTCCCCAAATGAAGTCTCGGTTGTTCTCAGCCATAACACCACCCTCGAATGCCAAGTCAAAGGCACACCCTTCCCTGAGATTCACTGGTTCAAAGATGGCAAGTAAGTACCTTTGTTTGTTTGCAAAGCTCCAACTGATAGGAAACAGAAGTGTTAAATGCATGCAGTTTTCTCCCTCCTTAGTTATTTTACCACATAAAGTACTATTGAATGAACATGACGGAAAACAATATTTTTGAAAAAGTGGTCTTAGAGTCTTGTGATTCTTTTTATTCCTATAAATAATAACATTCGTTATAAATGCTGGAAATTTATTTTAGAAACAGAGCAACTCAGATTTATTATAGACTAAATATTTTGGCCAAAGGCTACAAATGAAAAATAAAAAGTACAAGATTGCGCAGAAAATTAAGTAGCTGTTTCTCAGACTTCAAGAACTACTGAGGTTTTCCCACAGTGAAGTAGCTGCAGTGATTTGTATTAATCATGAGAGCTTATTTCTTACAGCCTGGTCTATTTGTGTATTACAGGAACTTCTGAAAGCAGGTGTCTAAGTCCTAACTAGGAAAGAGTAAAGATTTGCAGCATGTGAAATAAAGAATTTTATTCAAATTTTGTACACATCAGTAAGACAATAACAACATAGAAAATGTAGGAGGGATATGAATAAGCAATTAAGCAATATATAAATAATGAATCAATAATTAACATATGCTTACCTTCATTAATTTGGAGAATATTTGGAAAATAATTTGATTTTGTTTTTCAGTTCAGACTGGCAAAAAAGAAAGTAAAGGTTTGAAAAATAAAGTGTTAACTTGGATTTGAAAAACCAAAATAGAGTATTCTATTAGGAGAAAAGAGGAATTAATGTTCTGAAGGGCAGCTTGTTAATATTAAAATTTGAATTCTCATCTGCTGTGATAGGGCGATTACACATTCAGTATCCAGAAGGGAGAAGCATCATGTGTGTCATTAGTAAACTGGATGATATCAATCCATACAGCACAGTCATAGCAAAAATGGTAATTGTCTAAAACCCAGCATTAGGAGAATGAGTCGATTACTTATCACATTCAAATCATGAGATACTGTGCAGCAATTATGGAGAGTAAGACCGAGCTATGAGTCCCAAAAATATCTTCAGTGCTACTATGTTAAGAAAAGTAGAACAATCACACAATACAATTGTGTACAAAAACTTTAGATTCCTTGAAATACATTTATGGGTGAAAATGTTTAGGAAAACATCTGAAAGAACAACTGTGAGCAGTCTAGTGAGACTAACATCAGGGGTAAGAGATCAAGACTATGCTCCTTATTGTAACACTGGCATTTCTTTTTTTTTAAATCTTTATGTTACTTGCATAATTAATGATCCATAAAAGTTTTTAAATTACTTAAATTTGTGTAGGATTACCAAGGATTCACTTACTTTAAACAGTTAAATTGCATCAAAATCACTGTATGTATGTATGTATGTATGTATGTATGTATGTATGTATGTATGTATGTATTTGTTTTTACGTAGAAGTGGAGTATAGGCCATAGGTGTAGGGGGTGAGAGGATTCACCAGAGACAGAATGGGAAGCAGAACAAGTGGATTTACTGAAATACACTGCTGAGGGGAGCAGCAGGTGAAACAGGAGAGGTCTCCTGCACCACATGTGGCTTAGCTCCCTGGTCAGGAATGACAGAGGTGACAGTGCTGAGCCTTAACACCCTACACCAACAGGGAGGCCCTCAAGCACTTTATTCTTTAGGCTTTTAAGAACTTCCTTCAAAGTGTCATGCCAAGAACTATAAAAGGATGATATGTAAAAAAGAAATGTGTGTTTTATTTAATCTTGTATTCTGACTAGCAGATTGTTACTACAGCAGTACACCTAATTGTTTATCAATTGTGTAAATCACTGCAACTTCTGTAAAACTAGCTTTGGGTCTTTCTGAAAGAAAATCATTGATTTTTATATGTATAACTCCTAGGATACCATAGGTTTTAATAGCCATTGTTTTTCATATGTTAAATAAACTATCAATTGTATGACTTCTTACAACTATGTAAGAACTGCTTCAGGCATAAATATATTTCAATAGTTATGATTATAAAAGCATTTTTATTTATTGCAATATCTACTTTTTTAAGTTGGCATAATCATTAGTAAGTAATAACCATTCATTCTATTGTGAATACTTTTCCAGCTATTATGAAGGTAATTGCTTTATAATAATATTGCTTGATCTAAAGCTTCTATACTCTTAGCTTTTCTTTTCTAAATGATGGAGAAAAAATTGCTTATGTAATCCAAAAACATAAAAGGAGGAGGAAGAACATGAGAAGGGATAAAGGAGTGATACAAATAATGACACTACTGGGTTTCTGTTAATGTTATTAAACTAGTTAAGTTTTAAAATAAAGAAACTGTTCATCTCAAAGTCATAATGATTTAAGTTGCATTGGTGAAGTGGCTTAATAATTTCATTTGAATAGTAATACTAATCAGATCATTATGTATTTTTTATCAACTCATATTTTTGGCCTTACATCAAAGATTTTTGTTGCTATTTATAAGAGAAGAAACATAGGAAAATTAAAATGCACCCATGCAATAAAATTTTCTTTTTCTAGGCCTTTATTTTTGGGGGATCCTAACATTGCACTTCTAGACAGAGGACAAATATTACGTTTAAAGAGTGTGCGCAGAAGTGACAAGGGAAGGTACCAGTGTGTCGTGTCTAATGCTGCTGGCAAACAGACCAAGGATATAAAACTGACTATACACAGTAAGTGTGATTCTTTTATGCAGTTTATTATCAGTTCTCATTATGAATTGAAAGGTGGGGTTCATTCTAGTGTTAATGGCTCTTGTTTTTATTTATTTTTTTTAAATAATAAATTTTATTTTTATATTCCCCCATACAATTGCAAACACCCCATTCTGACCCCAATCCTTCCCCTCCCGGCCCCCACCCCCCAAAAAGTGTCTCTGGTTCATAGTTTTTTGTTGATTTTGATTTTCACTTTCTTATATTCATTTTCCTGGTCCCTTATTTAAGTTTTCTAGATTCCTGCTATGAGTGAGACCATCCGGTATTTTTCTTTTTCTTTCTGGCTTATTTCGCTGAGCATGATCCCTTCCAGCGCCATCCATGTTGCTGCAAATTGCATGTGTTTATCTTTTTTGAATGCTGAGTAATATTCCATGGTATATATGTACCACATCTTCTTGATCCAGTCATCTATTTTTGGGCATTTGGGTTGTTTCCAAAGCTTAGCTATTGTAAACAGTGCTGCTATAAACATAGGGGTGCAGGTGCTCTTTGGAATTGATGTTTCTGTGTCCTTTGGGTAAATACCTAGGAGTGGAATTGCTGGATCATATGGAAGCTCTATGTTTAGTAGGTCCAGAATTCTCCACATAGCTCTCCACAGTGGTTGGACCAGTTTGCACTCCCACCAACAGTGCAGGAGAGTTCCTTTTTCTCCACACCCTCGCCAACATTTGTTGTTGCTAGTTTTTTTAATATGTGCCATTCTCACTGGTGTAAGATGGTATCTCATGGTAGTTTTGATTTGCATTTCCCTGATGACAAGTGATGTTGAACATTTTTTCATATGTCTGTTGGCCATTTGCATTTCCTCTTCAGAGAAGTTTCTTTTTAGCTCTTCTGCCCATTTTTTGACTGGATTATTTTCTTTGTTGTTGTTGAGTCTCATCAGCTCTTTGCAGATTTTTGTGATCAGTCCTTTATCATTAGTGTTGGGTGCAAAAATGTTCTCCCAGTTGGTGGGGTTTCTCTTTGTTTTTGTTATTGTCTCTTTTGCTGTGCAGAAGCTCTTTAATTTGATGTAGTCCCAGCTGTTTATCTTTGCCTTCACTATCACTGCTTTGGGCAGTGATAGTGCAAAGATGTCTTTGATGTCTTTGATGTGCAAATCCCGTAGTGTTTCGCCTATATTTCCTTCTATGTATTTTATGGTTTCAGGTCTTATGTCTAGTTCTTTAATCCAGTTTGAGTTGATTTTTGTGTATGGTGTGAGGTAGTGGTCAAGCTTCATTCTTTTGCATGTAGTGACCCAGTTTTCCCAGCACCATTTATTGAACAAACTTTCTTTGCTCCAATGCATAGTCTTTGCTCCTTTGTCAAAGATTAGTTGACCATAAATCTGTGGGTTTATTTCTGGATTTTCTATTCGATTCCATTCGTCTGTATGTCTGTTCTTGTTCCAATACCATGCAGTTTTGATGATTATGGCTTTGTAGTATAGTTTGAAGTCTGGGAGTGTGATGCCTCCATTTCCTTCTTTTTTTTTCAATAGAGCTTTGGCTATTCGGGGTTTTTGGTGATTCCATATGAATTTCATCCATAATTGTTCTATTTCTTTGAAGAATGACATTGAAATTTTGATTGGAATAGCATTGAATCTGTATATTTCTTTTGGTAGGATGGCCATTTTAATAATGTTTATTCTTCCAATCCATGAGCAGGGGATGTCTTTCCATTTCTTTGTGTCTTATTCTATTTCTTTCAACAGTGTTTTATAGTTTTCTTTGTATAGGTCCTTTACCTCTTTTGTTAGATTTATTCCCAAATATTTGATTTTTTTTGTTTCGATAATAAAAGGGATGGTTTTTTTGATTTCTTCTTCTTCAGATTTGTTGTTTGTGTATAGGAAGGCTACTGACTTTTGCATGTTGATTTTGTATCCTGCCACTTTACTGAATTGATTGATGAGTTGAATTAGTTTTTCTGTGGAGTTTTTGGGGTTCTCTATGTATATTATCATATCATCTGCAAATAGTGATAGTTTGACTTCTTCTTTTTCTATTTGGATTCCTTGGATGTCTTTCTCTTGTCTTATTGCTCTGGCTAGGACTTCCAGTATTATATTGAAAAACAGTGGTGAGAGTGGACATCCTTGTCTTGTTCCAGATCTTAATGGAATTGCTTTCAGCTTTTCACCATTGAGAATGAAACTGGCTGTTGGCTTGTCATAGATGGCCTTTATGATGTTGAGATATGTTCCTTGTATCCCAAGAATTTCAAGGGCTTTTATCATGAATGGGTGTTACACTTTGTCAAAAGCTTTCTCAGCATCTATTGATATTATCATATGGTTTTTATATTTCTTTTTGTTGATGTGTTGGATAACGTTGATTGATTTTCGGATGTTAAACCATCCTTGTGTCCCTGGAATGAATCCTACTTGGTCGTGGTGAATTATCTTATGGATACATTGTTGGATTCTGATAGCTAAAATTTTATTGAGGATTTTTGCATCAGTGTTCATTAGGGAGATTGGCCTGTAGTTTTCCTTTTTTGTTTTGTCCTTATTCGGTTTTGGTATTAGTGTAATATTGGCTTCATAGAACGTGTTTGGTATTGTCCCTTCCTTCTCAATTTTTTGGAAGAGTTTGTGAAGGATAGGCACTAATTCATCTCTGAATGTTTGGTAGAATTCATTTGTAAATCCATCAGGTCCTGGGCTTTTGTTTTTGGGGAGGTTTTTGATTACCATTTCAATTTCGCTAATTGTAATTGGTCTGTTTAGGTGTTCTATTTCTTCTTTATCTAGCTTTGGGTGATTGTAGAGTTGTAGGAATTTGTCCATCTCCTCTAGATTGTTGAACTTGTTTCCATATAACTGTTCATAGTAGTTACTGATTATTCTTTTGATTTCTGCTGTGTCCGTTGTGATTTCTCCTCTTTCATTGATGATCCTGTTTATTTGTGCTTTCTCCCTTTTTTCCTTTGTGAGCCTGGCTAGGGGTTTGTCTATTTTATTGATTTTTTCAAAGAACCAGCTCTTGGTTTCATTGATCTTTTGGATTGTTTTTTTAGTTTCAATTTCATTTATTTCTGCTTTGGTTTTTATTATTTCTTTTCTTCTACTGGTTTGGGGTTTTTTTGTTGTTCTTTTTCTAGATCTTTGAGCTTTGAGATTAGGTTGTATCTTTGAGTTCTTTCTTGTTTTTTGATGTGAGCTTCTATTGCTATATATTTTCCTCTTATTACTGCTTTTGCTGCATCCCATACATTTAGGATATTGGTGTCCTCCTTGTCATTCAATTCAAAGAATTTTTTAATTTCTTCTTTGATCTCCTCGTTCGTCCAGTGGTCTTCCAGTAGTGTGGTTTTTAATCTCCATGAGGTAGTATAGTTCCTTGCCTTCTTTTTATGGTTTATTTCTAGTTTGATGCCTTTGTGGTCAGAAAAGATGGTTGGTGTGATTTCAATCTTGGTGTATCTGTTGATGTTTGTCTTGTGCCCCAGTATGTAATCGATCCTGGAGAATGGTCTATGTGCGCTTGAGAAAAATGTGTACTCCGTTTTTTTTTTTTGGGTTTGGTGTTCTATAGATGTCTATTAAGCCCAAATGCTCTAGGTCCTTATTTAGAGCTTTAGTTTCTTTACTTATTTTTTGTCTTGTTGATCTATCCATTGTTGATAGTGGTGTGTTGAAGTCTCCCACTACATATGTGTTTTCTCTGATGTCTGTTTTCAGAGAGGACAACAGTTGTCTGATATATTTTGGTGCTCTTTCGTTTGGTGAGTATATGTTAATGAGTGTTATTTCTTCTTGAAGTATTGTCCCCTTGATCATAATGTAGTGACCATTGGGGTCTCTTTTTATTTTTTTGAGTTTGAAGTCTGTTTTATCTGATATAAGTATAGCTGTTCCTGCTTTCTTTTTTGGCCCATTTGCTTGTAGGATTGTTTTCCATCCTTTGACTTTGAGCCTATTTTTATCTTTTGTAGCTAAATGTGTTTCCTGGAGACAGCAAAAGGTTGGGTTTTGTTTCTTAATCCAGGCTGCAACTCTGTGTCTTTTTATTGAAGAGTTTCGTCCATTTACATTTAGAGTTAATATTGATATGTTAGCATCTGTATTTGCCATTGTGTTTGTCTTTCCTTTGATTTTATTTATTTATTCTTTTAATAACTTTTTTTTTTTTGGTCTTCTTTCGTTGTTATTCGTCCCTCTGAGGTTCTGGCTTTAGTATTCCTTGTAGTATTTTTTGGAGTGGGGGTTTAGTCGTAATGAAATTCCGGAGTTTCTGTTTGTCTGGGAAGGTCCATATTCTTTCTTCATGGAGGAAAGAGAGCTTTGCGGGATAGGTATTCTTGGTTGGCATCTGTTTTCTTGGAGTCTGTTGACTATGTCCCTCCACTCCCTCCTTGCCCGTAGTGTTTCTTCAGAGAAGTCTGATGTCAGCCTGATTGGTTTTCCTTTGAATGTTATCTGTTTCTTCCCTCTTGTCAGCTTCATTATTTTTTCCTTGTCCTGGATTCTTGGGAGCTTTACTATTATGTGTCTTGCTGTGTTTTTCCTTTCGTCGTGGAAGTTTGGTGTTATTCTTGCTTCTTGTTTATCAATTTTCAGCTCGTTCTTCGCATTTGGGAAGTTTTCTTCAATTATCTCCTGGAATATTTTCTCTGTTCCTACATCTCTCTCCTCTCCTTCTGGAATTCCAATTTCTCTTATATTTCCTTTCCTCATGGAGTCATATAATTCCCGAAGTCTTTCTTCATTCTTTTTCCTTCGTACTTCTCTTTCCTTTTCTGTTTTGGTTCTTTTTATTTCTGTGTCTTCAAGAGTACTTATTCGTTCTTCCATTTCATCTATTCTTCTTTCATTGCTTTTCCCAGAGTTCTTTAGTTCCTCCATTAATTCTTTGATCTATTGCATTTCTTTTACTTCCCTCTTTAGGGACTCAATTTCATTCTTCTGACCATTGTTTTCCCTCTTTAGGCACTCAATTTCCTTCTTCTGATCTATC